TAAATAAATAAATAAAAACCATTAGGAGTAGGAGGCAGGGAATCTGAGGTTTCTGCCAATGTCTTCCATCTTAGAGTCCTCATTATTAACAGTAGCACTACCGTCTTTATTCTCAAGCTCAGGGACTCTGCCCATTTCATGCAAAATCAAGGACAGAGCAAGGAGAGTTGCTTTGAACTAGCTAGCACAGCTAGAAGTCGAAAGAAGGAAAAGATCTCTTTATTGTGGACACTCTGGCTCAGGGGACACCTCGAGTCCTCCACTGTGTCAGCAGAGGGCTGGTAGTCTTAGCCAGGCTTGTCCTTGTCATGGGTGTCATCCACACCTGCCCCTTCCACCTCCTCCCAAACACTGCCCCTTTCCCTGCAGAACCATCAGAACAGCACCTGGCCTGCTCCCGGGGTTTGCTACAAGAATAAAGTGGGATTGTGTGTGAAAGTGCTTTGTAACTCCAAAGGCACAACTGTTCTTGTTACTACTGATATGCCCTCCCCATCTCTCTCTCTCTCTCTCTCTCTCTCTCTCTCTCTCTCTCACACACACACACACACACACACACACCCCACGTCTTCACAGAAACACAAACCATCAAGCCACATCCTGTGGACAAGGGACTATTGCTGGAGCCATTATGGAGGAGGAATTGTTTCCTCCAGAGTCACTGACACATGATAGCAGCCCATATTGTCACAGGCCTTGGATAAATGGCACACTTGGGCTCCTGGCACCACAGCTTCTCTTAATGGGACACAACATTTATACATAATAATGGTAATTCAGGAGCAAGAGGCTGTGATGCTCAGAAAAGAGTTTCTGTGATTCTTCCACAAGGGTACAACCCTGTGAAGAGCCTCCCGGAATGGTGACGCGGAAGGGCCAGGGACTTGCTAAGTCTTTGGGCTGAGACCAGGACCTGAGTCCTTCAGGCAGGGCCTCACCAGGACATTTCCCTGTGTGCAGTTAGTCATCCGCATGCTCACTGAGCCGGCGGCTTATGCTTTAGCCAGCCTTCTCAAACACACAGCCGGTTGGCCATCTTCCTCCCCCCTCGACTGTCTCCCACAGGGGACGTTAAAGAGAGAATTGGACTCTCAGACCACCTTTCCATATAACAAAGGATGATGAGACAGACAGAATTGATGGGAAGATTGCTCTGCTATTTTGGGCCTCATAAAACAAAACACAACATGAAAAACCATAACCTAGCATCTTCAATGATGTCTTGCTTATGTTCCAATATGCTGATACCTGAAATATATATCAAGATTTGGGTTAAAAGGGGCCAGTGGTGGAGAACGGGAGGCCCTTGGGGACAAGCGGTGCTTGGCAGCTCCATTCAGGTGGCGTGCTGAAAACGTATTTGATCTGAACCTCAGCAACCTCCCCTCCGCTGTTGTACAATCTAGGACATGAATGCGTTCGCACTTGGACTTGAATTGCAAATTTGATTTTTGTTGTTCATATTTAAAAAGCTCCACCAGATGCTTGGAAAACATTAGGGTTTTGCCAGCCAGGGAACAGAAATATTATCATTCTACCTATTTGTATTTCAAAGATCCAGGAAGCATTCTATCTCAGCTGCCGTTGTGACAATTCACATCCCTGAATTTTAAAAATGGTAAAACTAAGGCTTCCTAGGTACCTTTCTACATTATTTCATTCAACGTCATCCTCACAGTCACTCTATGAGCTAGGTATTATTAACCCATTTTGCAGAGAAGGAAATCAGGGCTTATGTGTTATGAGTTTACCAAAATTCATTCATTCAACAGGTATTTATTGAGCGTCCACTATGAACTGCTGGAGACCCCAAAGTGAATAAAACAGAAAACTCACTGCCCTCATGTAAATTCCTTTCTAATGGAGGGCATCATAGCCACCTATCATTAAGGAGTGGCGTGACATTCATGTACATTGACTCTCGTGTAGGGATCTTGGTGGTGACATTTATGTGTGTTGACTCTCGTGTCAGGATCTTGGTTTTGAGCCTGGAGTTCTGACTCAAGAGCCTTGCTCCCGATCTGTGACACTGCCCTCCTGCTGCACCCACTCTGCTAATGAGAGGTACAACTTGGGCTTCCAGCCAGACGTGTCTCCGTGGTGTGCCACCACCATCTTACAGGGGAACACATGGAGCGTCTTTTGTTTCTCTGTCCTGTCCCACCCATTACCTAACCTAGAACAGAATCACAGACCTTTGCTTTCTGAGTTCATTTTAAGACAAGTGTTTATTTTCTGCAGTCTCATATCACTTCAAGAGGTGCCCGAAGCCTGGTTTCCCTCAAGTCCTGAAGCTATGATATCTGAACTTGCCGCTGGAGCCTTGTACATTCAAGTGTCTGCCGTCTCTATGATCAGAATCATGGCTTTTTGGTTTGTTCCATAAATTACATCATTTTTGATCAGTGTCTACCCAATATGATGGATTGAACCAGTATTTTCTTTGAAGTCAAATTCCCGGTGTGTCCCAGTTAGGACCTTATCTTCAGAGTTCGGGAGCATCTATCTAGTGACTGCAGACAGCGTCTGGTGTTGTGGTTAAAAATATAAGATTCAGGAACAAGGGTTACACTGGACTTTGACTTAAGAACCCTTCCTCCATTCCTTCCTCTTACAGTGGAATTCTCTGCTTGTGAGAAAGTGCACAGCTGTGAGTGACAGTTCTTGAAACTGACCATATCACCCTGAGATTGGTTTTCTTATACGTGGGGGGGCTCCTCCAGAGCCTTGGCAGCTCCATGTGTGGGTTCAGCAGGGTGGAGACAGGGGATCCCTGCTCCTCTGCCACAGCTTCTGTAACACAGCAGCTTTGCCAAGAGTAGCAGCCCCCAAGTGGAAGAGCCACTCCACCGTCCCCCTCCCACCCTGCATCCTGCTCCCTCCCCCTTTGCCTGTGCAAAGCCACTCCAACCTAAGCTGCCTCAGTCACCAGCCCATACCCAGTCTATGCCAAGCCTTTAGATCAGAACCACAAAAGCAGCACACAGGTGAATTTGGGTTAAAATTTATAAACCTATAGAATTAGAAAGACCTCTCTTAACAAGACTTCTTAAATGGGCCCAGTTAAGTAGATGTCACACCCTCTGGAGTGAGAGATCCAGCACTCCTGTTACCAGGAATGTTGAGTCTCAAAAGCCGGCATTCCTTACCGTCAATGGTGCTGCCTCCTGCTCTGAGTCAAGCTTGCTTCTTTTAGGACAATAGACTTATTCATTGAATTTGCGATTATTTATTAACCACTGCTAAGAAGCTGAGCACTGGGTGCAGCACGGTGGATATAGCAAAAGCAAGTTAGCCACAGTCCGCTAAACAGGCATGTAAGTCATCGGCTCAAGGTATGATAAAAGCTCTGATGGGGAAGTTTAGATTGCCTGGAAGAACTCATTCCCTTACGTCCATCCCAGTATGGGTGGGTCAGGGAAGGCTCCTGAGCTGTTTGGGTGGGGAAGGCATGTAAGATAAGACTTGGTAAGGGGAACTGTGATCTCACCTGAAAAATAAGCAACTATTAACCAGGGAAGGGGTGGGGGAGGAGGAGTGTGTCCCAAGAGGTGAAGAAGCACACGCCGTGCCCTGGAGGCAGAAGGAAGCCTGCCTGCTGAAGTAACAGGAGGAGTTGCAGAAGAGTTGACTGGAAGTAGAACAACAGGTGAGGGGTGGGGGATCGAGATGCTGAGCAGAGAAGCAAAAGGTGAACTGGAAGGACCCACAGCAGCCAGGTGGTTTGATTGGGAGTCGTTGTAGATTTTAATCCATACACAAAGCATTAAATCATTGCAGGGTTATAAACAGAAAGGACAATTTTTTTTTTAAGAGCATAGAGATTCATTGGAAGAGAACAAAACAGAGAATCAAAGGACTGATGAGAGAGTGAGTGGGTGAATGAAGACAGGGCAAAGAGGCCAGCAGGAGACGAGGGTCCCTGGCTAGGGGAGTGGCAGGGTAGATTGACGGAAGGGGGCTTGTTAGAGGGGCTGGTGATGAGGGAGGCTTCAGAAAGATGCGTCAATTTCTATCTTGGGTAACCGAGTAGATACTGAGGTGGGGAACATTGGCGAGGATCATATTTGGGTAACAAACGATAATAAGCTCAATGTTGAGTTTTAACTGCCTGTGAAATATCCAGGGAGAGAGCCTTGGAGTTAATGGAGCTCAGCGGGGAAGATGGCGCTGGGTACACTATTTGGGATCATAAGCCTGGAGAGGAGAGCCAAAGCTGTTGTAATTTGTGAAATTATCTACAGAAGCATGTGGAATGGCCAGGAGGAAAAAACCAAGAAGCCTAAGACAAAATATCAAAGAGTCCCATCATTTAGACAAATAAGAAGACACGAGATTGAGAAAGAGCAGGTGGGGAGAAGGAAGGAAATCCACAAGAGGGAGAGATCATGGAAGCCAAGTCAAACAGGCTTGGAGAAGAGAGTAGATCACTGGATCAACATGGTATTGGGAGTGAGTTGTAAAATAGGGAACGAAAGGAAGTTTGTGGTCATGTTCAGTATTCATCTTCTATTGTATGCTACTCAATAAATAATGGGTTAATAATAATGGGTTAAATTCCATATCCTCAGTGGGATTTTTAGTGTTCTTCAAAATGTTAATTTAATTCCTTGATGTTCTCAAGGTGTGGCAAGAACGTTAAGATGGGTATTAACATTTTTCTCCAGTATGATGTGTTTAGGTCCAAGTCTCGTTTCTAGCATTCATTTGGAAAAGGATAACAGATGATTCTCCCTTAAGATCTTTTCTATTGCTCCCTACCTACCAGTCTTCAGTTGGCTTTCTCTCTCTTAGGTGTCCAAACTCTGCTTTTCAGCAAAACCTTTCCCCAGAGAATTCGAATTTCAGTGTTTGTTGCCTGATTTAAAGTGAGAAGCATCATTTCTTTCTTACGTATCCTAAAGCATTTAAAATTAGTTCACAACCAGGCACATAACGATGCTTAAAAGAGGAAAATGTGGTTGGAGATTGAGTCAACCTCTCTTCTGTCTCTTTTCCAGCTACAAGAGACTGTGAAAAGGAAGTTGGAAGGAGCCCGATCCCCACTTAACGGAGACCAACAGAATGGAGCTTGCGATGGGAGTTTTTCTCCGACCAATAAGCGGCTCCGAAAGGACATTCCCACAGGGATGGAAGCCATCAACAGTTTGCCCAACAACATGCCCCTGCCTTCAGCTTCTCCTCTTCACCAACTTGACCTGAAGCCTTCTTTGCCCTTGCAAAACAGCGGGACTCACACTCCTGGGCTTCTGGAGGATCTTAATAAGAACGGCAGGCTCCCCGAGATCAAACTCCCCGTCAACGGTTGTAGTGACCTGGAGGATAGCTTTGCCATCTTGCAGAGCAAGGACCTCAAACAGGAACCTCTCGATGACCCTACTTGCATAGACACATCAGAAACATCTCTTTCTAATCAGAACAAGCTGTTCTCAGACATTAACCTGAATGACCAGGAGTGGCAGGAGTTAATAGATGAGTTGGCCAACACGGTTCCGGAAGATGACATTCAGGACTTGTTCAACGAGGACTTCGAGGAGAAGAAGGAGCCGGAATTCTCACAGGCAGCCGCGGAGACGCCTCTCTCCCAGGAGAGCACCAGTGTGAAGAGTGATCCCTCTCACTCTCCTTTTGCACACGTCTCCATGGGCTCTCCCCAGGCCCGGCCTTCGTCTTCCGGTCCTCCCTTTTCCTCCGTCTCCACCGCCACGAGCTTACCTTCTGTTGCCAGCACTCCCGCAGCTCCGAACCCTGCCAGCTCACCAGCCAACTGTGCTGTCCCATCCCCTCAAACGCCAAACCAAGCCCATACCCCAGGCCAAGGTCCACCGCGGCCCGGCAACGGTTATCTCCTGAATCCAGCCGCAGTGACAGTGGCCGGTTCAGGGACAGGCCCCGTGGCTGTGCCCAGCTCTGACATGTCTCCTGCAGAGCAGCTCAAACAGATGGCTGCCCAGCAGCAGCAAAGGGCCAAACTCATGCAGCAGAAGCAGCAGCAGCAGCAGCAGCAGCAGCAACACTCAAATCAGACTTCAAGCTGGTCTCCCCTGGGGCCTCCGTCTAGTCCATACGGAGCAGCTTTTCCTGCAGAAAAACCAAATAGCCCAATGATGTACCCCCAAGCCTTTAACAACCAAAACCCTATAGTGCCTCCAATGGCAAACAACCTGCAGAAGACCACGATGAATAACTACCTCCCTCAGAACCACATAAATATAATCAATCATCAGCCAAATAACTTGGGTACAAACTCCTTAAACAAACAGCACAATATTCTAACTTACGGCAACACTAAACCTCTGACCCATTTTAACGCAGACTTGAGTCAGAGAATGACTCCACCAATGGCCAACCCCAACAAGAACCCTTTGATGCCGTATATCCAGCCGCAGCAGCAGCCCCCGCAGCAGCCCCCACAGCAGCAGCCTCCGCCCCCACCCCAGCTCCAGGCTCCCAGGGCGCACCTGAGCGAGGAGCAGAAGCGCATGCTTCTCATGAAGCAGAAAGGAGTGATGAATCAGCCCATGGCTTACGCTGCGCTTCCATCCCACGGTCAGGTAAGTGTGAAAGTGAGACACGCTTGGAGCACTGCTCCCCGTGCATTTCAAGCTGTCAAGTGTGATGCTCTCCGAGCTTCTGCCTGAGCAGGGTCTAATTACCCTCTGAAATTCTCCCTCCACGTCCTCCTGGAGTTAGAGCGCTTAGGTATGTTTCCCCTTTCTTCTAAGAGATGGAAAAAGGGTGACCCCATCAACTTTCTTGTATTTGAATGCCTAGGACTCGAATTTCCTGCTCCTGCCTGCAGATTGAGAACCAAAAAATTACAAAATTCTCGCTCTGGGGAAGGCAGGCTGCAGACCCATGGCCAAACATTTTGCTACTTCATTAACTTTCCTACCAGATGGTTCAATCCCAGACTCAGGTGACAGGAAGGCCAGGATGCTTAAGGCTACCTATAACCATTTTCTAAGGCCTGAGCAACCTTCAGCTACCTGATTGAATTATGAATAATGGGAAATTTGGATTCTCCATGTTCAAATGTGGGAGAGATTTCTGTATTTTAAAAATGAGCCCGAGGGTAGATTTTGTAGGACCAGTCAGCACTGAAACATTTGCTGCTATGGTATCAACAGTTAGAAGCAGTTTCAGTCTTGTTGCTTGAGATTACAATGACCTCTGTCCAACTCATTCAGCTCTATTTTGGGAAAATTGGATGATGAATGTACCTTGGTGCTATATTAAAAACAAAGTCTCCTTTTTCCTACTGTCTTCCTGTTTTGGGGGGGTAGGGTCGTTCATGCAGCCACAGTTGGGTAGCAAATACTCACCAACAAGCACTTACTGATGCTCAACGTGACCACAGCTTCTTTAGTTTATTTATTTTTTGCGGTATTGGAGGATGGAACCCAGGACCTTGTGCATGCTAGGCAAGTGTTCTACCATGGAGTGACATCCAAGCCAGCTCTGGTTTAACACTGTATCTTCCATGAAGGAAAGAAGAAGTAGGGAAATGCACTTTATCCGTACCTTCCCCCATCATAGATGAATTCATGGGGATCACTTAACTACCAGTTGCTACTCTATGCTCCACCCCTTTTTTGTACAGTAGTTGGAGATTTTGCAGAATTCTGCTTTAGAGGCCCTCATGTTTAAACTGATGATAGGATATGCATCCACAATGGGGTGCATTGGGTGCCCTGGGAAGGAACCCAGGCAGATCTTGTCTTGTTTCTTGGTTGTTTGCATCTTGTATCTCCTGGAGTACCCCACCCTATCTCTACCCCCACCCCCACCCAATCCATGGAAGCTACAGGGCTGGGGGGTGGCCTTGGCCTGCAGAGACAAGCCTGAGCTCTGTGGCTTCATTCTTGTCCTTCACAGCCTTCCAACCCTAAAACCTCACAGTGGCTTCTTGTCTGCACATGCCAGCAGCCCTCAAGAAATTCTGTCTGGATAAATAAAAGTATAGCTTAGTTTACATCAACTGAAATAGTTAGCTGGTATAAAAATATCATTGAAATGTGAAATTTGTATGTTTTATCTTGGTTTCATCTTAAAATATATTCATAATATATATATATATATATATATATATATATATATATGCCTATGTATATGCATTTACATATATATATATACACTATTAGAAAATGCAACATTTTATGTACTTTTTAAAAGATTAAGTTCTGAAGCAGGCAAAAACAGAGGCAATACGTAGGGGTGTTTGTGGTAACACAGAGGCATCACAAGATTTCTGAGAGTGAAAGCTGTCACAATGAATTTTGTTAACCTTAATACAAATTGTGCCTTTATATTCACTGTTTTTACACCAGTATTTTCTCCAACCCAGACCAAAGATGATTAGTTTCGACTCACAGATTCTTCAGACACATAGGTGCAATATGTACCCACCCATAACCCCCACCCTCACTAAACTGCTTTTGAAATGTGCTCACTTGGGATAAAGTTCCTGTCTTTGCTGGAACATGAATTTTCAAGATGCTCATTTGGGTCCTTAATGCTTGCCTGTGAGTCACTGAAGCCATGAACTGCAGAGGTCATGTTTTGAAAGGGCTTAGCCAGGTGAAGGAGCAAATGTGAGGCTTTCTGGATTCAATCTGTGGGCCTCTGCTCTCTCCTTATCACAAGGTGCTCTGAGGGTGGACAGAACCTTCCCAGGCAAACCCTCATTAGAATAATCACTTCTTAATCTCACAAAGTACTGACAGGTAAAAGCATGCTTTTTAATGAAATATTAACTCACCACCGCTTGAAAGATGCTTCAAAACACAGACATGTGGATTTCTTTCTGCAAACATCGTTTATTTCATGTTTTTATCTGATTGCAGAGCAATATTTACATAGCTCACAGAATAGTTAGCTCTACTATCTGGGGGTGCATTGCACAAATACTAGCGTGAATTACAGGCAGGACGTACAATATAGTTCGATTTTGTTTTCAGTTGTTGCTAGAAAAAATTCATCTCATTTTTTCTTGGCCGCAAGGACCATGATCAACACTTAGTTCTAACAAATGGCTTAAGCACCAGAGGAGAATAGTAGCCACATTTGTTTCAAGAAAGTTGTATAGATGTTTGCTTATTTGGAACACTTGTATGAAAGTCCATTACTTTCAGAAATGAACAGAAACACCAGCACTTCCTGGATATTTCAAAAAGGAGAGAACCAAAAATAGAAGAAAAAAAAAAGACTTTCACAACTTTGGATGTGATTTATCTAGTAATTTCACTTCTCAATGTTTACATATTCCTTATAATCAAAGGATTAACAAAGATTATGCCCATGGTACACTTGTGACAGTGAAAATTTGGAATCAATATAAATATTTTGAAAAAAATAATGTACATGAAAATCATGATACTAATGAATGATTAATCACACAGATGTGCTCCTAATATGAGTAAGATAAGCAGATCATGAAACAGTTTATGTTATAATCCAGACTGTGTTGTCTAATACACATAGAAAAAGGGTGTTCAAATTGTTAGAAATGGTATTTCTGGTGGGTAAGGTTGAGTGATTATAGCTTTGAATTTCATGTTTTAATAAGTTTTCTGTATTTCTATCATACATATTTCTAAATTTCTAATATACATAGGTGTTAATTCTACCATCAGGGGAAAAAAAAAAAACTAAGGAAGGAGAAGTCCCTATTTTTAAAAAAAAAAAAAAAGTTTACACTTTGCAAATTCTTTTTTTAAAAAGAACATTTTTGAGTCGAATTGATTTGCCAGTTGGATTGGGGCAATGCCATTAAATCCTGTTAATTTACATACATTAGCTGTGAGTCCCTGCATTAGTAGGTGGTTCTAAAACCTTCCTCCCACCCTCACTCTCTTTTCCATTATCTCTGCCCACCTTCTTTCCTCCCTAGCATTTTTTCCTAATTCCTGTAAAACTTAAGCTAAATGATTGACAAGTAAAATACAAATAAAATTTCAACCATTGGAAATACGCATATTCGTAGATTAGTTCTTTGATAATTTCTCCCTTCCCTTCACTCTTATTTTTTGTTCATTTGTTAATTTCTTCTGCATTTATTCATCATGGATTGACCCTCCTGGATCGCTCTCTAATTTTTCAAATATGTTTTTCTATAACAAAATACACAGAACTTACTTTGGCCTTATCCATCTATTAATCTTTTCCTAATGTTGCTATTTCTCAAGGGTAGGATTGCACTCTCGTGTGTGCCTGCGTGTGTGTGCGCTCTCTCTCTCTCTCTCTCTCTCGCTCTCGCTCTCGCTCTCTCTTGCTCTCTCTTGCTCTCTCGCATTTTTGCATAGGGCCTAACTCTCTATCTTAAACATAAGGATGTTTAATAAACCATTTGGTGGCAATTCTCAAAATTTGGGCTAAAAAATACATTTTCAGTTGATTATCAGCTCCAGTGAGGAAAGCAGTAGCACAAATGGCAGAAGCCTACTTTTGAGATCAAACAGAAGAACTGGAAAAGCAAGTCAAAGAGAATCGTTTGCAAGGGGGTGGCTATCTCCAGCAGTGGAGCAGCCATGAGGTTGCTGGGAAGCAAACACAGTCCCTGTTTCTAACAACAAAAAACAATGGCAAAATGATTAAAGAAGAAAAACTGCCTGCTGGTCAAGGAGGGCCACAGGCTACCCGTAGCCCAAGAATAATCCCTATGTTGACAGGCAGAAGGTGAATCATTTTGAAAATGAACTTGCAATCAGAAAACTAGATAAGTCATTGACTACTCTGCTACTTTGTTCTTTGTGTGTGTGTCTTCTTTGTGTGGCTTTATGTATCACAAATACATGTTTGCCCTTTTTGGTTATTTTACCAAAATTTGTAGGGTACCCTGTAAAGTATATCATTGTAAGCTTTTTAGCTATAGAATCTGCATAGAAAAAATAGACCTTTAATATTCACAGCTGTTTTGGAAATTTCTTTTGAGTACACATATTTCCTAACTTTAAAAATCTACAGACCCTCTGTTCAGTTTCTTTAAATACATACTGCTTACTTTATCCAAATAATGCATGTACACAGATCAGAAAGCCAAACAGCCTTTGCAAAGCTTGTGATGAGTGATGGTGGTCCCCTGCTCCACCTGCCCTGTTCTTAAACTGTGCTGTCCAACGGCAGCCACTTCAGTTCATTGTTTCCTTATTTATCTCCATAAACTGCTATTCCTCAATTTTTCAATTATTTGATTCTATAGAAGATAAGGATTTTGCTCAGTTACACTACATCCTCATAAATATGCCCAGCCTTCCACACTCTCTCTTTCTCTTCCATACTCTCGATATAGCTAACTGTATCACAGATTATGACTTTAAAAGTATTCCATGCTGGGGCTGGGGGTGTAGCTCATCGGTAGGTAGAGTGCTTTCCTAGCACAAGTGAGGCACTGGGGTCGATCCTCAGCACCATATAAAAATAAAATAAAGGTATTATGTCCATCTACAACTAAAAGAAAGTTTTTAAAAAGAAAAGTATTTCATGCTTACATGGCTAATTTTTGCATGGTGCCTCACCCTTTAGCCATTTCATATATTATGATTCCGATTCTTTT